ATCCTGGATTTTTGACATGTCTTTACATGCAATTAGCATGTCATCAACATACAGAAGTAGAAGGATGATATTACCATCCTTAAATGCATGAGTGTATACACAACAATCATATTCACATCTTCTATACCCAATCTTCATCATGTAAGAATCAAAGCATTTGTTCCACTGTCTTGGAGATTGCTTCAGCCCATATAAAGACTTCTTCAACCTGCAAACCAGATTTTCCTTCCCTGATTCAATGAACCCTTGAGGTTGGCTCATGTAGATGTCTTCCTCCAATTCCCCATGAAGGAAAGCAGTCTTCACATCCATTTGCTCCACCTCCATGTCCTCTTGTACTACTATGGAGAGTAGTAGTCGTATAGAAGTATGTTTCACCACCGAGAGAAGATTTCATCATAATCAACTCCCTCTTTTTGCAAGAATCCTTTTGCCACCAACCGAGCTTTGAATAAGGTGGCACCCTTCTCATGCATTTCTTCTTTCTTCCTAAACACCCATTTGCAGCCAATAACCTTGCGACCTTTGGGTTTAGGAACTAACTCCCAAACTGAGTTTTGGTGTAGAGATTCCATCTCTTGCATCATAGCTTCCATCCAACTTTCCCGTTCCTTGTTCTCAACAGCTTCTTGGAACGTGGTTGGTTCTTCTTCACTAGCATTTAGGGCATAGTGAACTGCATCCTTTTCCCATCCAAACCTTTGAGGTGGTTTGATGGTTCTCTTGGGCCTGGACCGAGCTATAGATGATGGCTCCACCTGTTCTTGAGCCTCTTCTTCTTCTTGAGTTTGTTGTTGATGTTGCCCAGCTTCTTCCTCTTCAATGTCAGACTCCACCTCCTCCTGAATGTCGTCAGTTGGCTGTTTCTGAGAAGTCTTTCTTGACACCTTCTTGAGTGGAACTTCAATGGTTGTTTCTTTCTCAACAACATCCTCCTTTGCCTCTGAATTCTTGACTTTGTTAATAGGCATGGTCTTCTCATCAAACACAACATCTCTGTTGAGTATCTTCTTGTGGTTCACTGGATCCCACAACTTGTAGCCCTTCACACCACTCTCAAATCCGATGAAAATACATTCAAGAGACTTTGGCTTCAACTTGGATCTTTCATCACTAGGAATAAGTGCACATGCACTACATCCAAACACCTTAAGATTTGAATAATCAACTGACTTATTAGACCATACCTCCTCTGCACATTTGAACTCAAGATTTCTTGAAGGCAATCGGTTAACCAAATAGGCAGCGTGGTTAACTGTCTCTACCCAAAAAGATTCGGGCAAACCTGCATGAATCCTCATACATCTCTCACGCTCCATGAGAGTTCGGTTCATCCTCTCCGCAGCTCCATTTTGTTGGGGTGTCTTCTTCATGGTAAAGTGCCTCTTAATGCCTCCACTTTTGCAAAACTCAAGGAACTTGCTGTCCTTATATTCACCACCATTGTCGCTATTTAGGATCTAGATCTTTCTTCCGGTTAGGTTCTCTACTTCCGCCTTCCACTCTTTAAATTTGGTGAAGACCTCAGATTTCTCCTTCATGAAGTAGACCCAAACCTTCCTGGAAAAATCATCCAAGAAAGTCACGAAATAGCGAGCTCCACCCTTCGATTTAACCGGTGATGGCCCCCATACATCCGTGTGAATATAATCTAGCACACCTGTGCTTTCTTCCTCTTTGTTTCGCTGCTTGAAAGCTATTTTTGATTGCTTTCCCATGGTACAAAATATGCAGAACTCAAGCTTGCAACTTTGAACACCTTTGAACAATTTTCTGTTGTGTAGTTCCTGCATGCCCCTCTCACTCATGTGCCCTATCCTCAAATGCCAAAGCTGAGTTTCATCTTCCGAGTCCTTGCTTGTAGATACAGCTGCTCCACCTATGATTGTTGTACCACACAACCTATATAGACAATTAGGTTGAATCTCACCCTTCATAATCACAAGTGAACCTTTTGAGACTATGAGTTTCCCTCCATTTGCTTTGAATGAATAACCATTCTTATCAAGAGTTCCAAGGGAAATGAGATTCTTACGCAACTTTGGAATGTGCCTTACCATTCCAAGCGTCCTAACAGCCCCATCATGCATCTTTACCTTGATTGTACCGGTTCCTTTGACTCTACACATTGAGCCATCCCCCATCATCACTTCACTGCTATCTTCTTTCTCATACGTGTCAAACCACTCCTTGTTTGAGCACATATGATATGAGCATCCGGAATCCAAAATCCAATCGGAAGAGGAACACCTTGAAGAATTAGCCAATGCATTTGTTTTAACATTGCTATTAACACACAAAAGCTCAGCATCACTTTCTGTGACACCCTCAGCTGTGTTTGCTGCATTCTTCCCGTTGTTATTCTTCTCCTTCCATATGGGACAATTCTTTTTCCAATGCTCCTTTGACCCACATTCGAAACAACCATCTTTCGCCTTGGATTTGGACCTTCCTCTGTTGCCTTTCTTGCCTTCACGCTTCTTCCTCCGGTCTTTGCAACTAGACCATCACCTTAAGAGTTTTCTCCCGAACGTTGAGTCATCCTATGGTGTGTCATGATGTCTTGCACCACAGGCTCAAAATCAAGAGTAACCTTTCCGAACATAAGAGTGGTTCGGAAGTGTTTATAGGACGGAGGCAAGGATGTCAACAACATAAGAGCCTTATCCTCCGGACTATAATTAACATCCATTCTCTGCAACTCAGCAACACATCTATTGAAACTACTCAAATGTTCCATTAGATTTCCTCCCTCCTCCATCTTAAGATTCAGGAGTTCTTCCTTGAGGAAAAGTTTGTTGGACAACGACTTCCCTGCAAACATTTCTTCGAGCTTCTCCCATGTTTGCTTCGCTGTATCCTTTATCACGTTGATGAGCACCTCGTCGGAGAGATAGTTTTCGATGGCTCCTCTGGCTAACTCGTCAAGTACTCCCCACTCATCATCCGTCATGCCCGTTGGCTTCTTCTCCTTGCCAACCAACACAACATGGAGTTATTGTTGTGTAAGAGCTGACTTCATCCTTCTTTGCCAAAGAGTGAAGTTCTCCTTCCCTGTGAAAGGCTTTAACTCCACCTTCATGCTTGCTACCTGTGGTTGCTTCACATGCTGTGAACTGCTACCACTCTCAGCTTCTAAGTCACTTGCCATCTTCAACACACTAGCACTCCAAGAGAACAACTAGCTCCAGCTGCCAAACACAACTCTGATACCACTTGTTGTGAATTAATACTAACTCACTGCCCTTAAAGATCTTGTTGTTGATGGACTTTGGACAAAGAACTCAATGATGGATGAGTCTTACACACACACACAAAAATTAACCAAGCACAAATGACACAAGTGTTTATAGAGGTTCAGCAACTTGCCTACATCCTCTTTGGTGATCACCTTGAGAAATTTCACTAATGAAGATAGGTTACAATTTTGGTTTTCAAAAGGAAACCCCCTTAGAACACTACCCTCACAATCTGTTTCTCTCACACCCTTGCTCAACATCTTGATACACTTTGAGAACTCTCTTGCTCTCCCCTTGGTTTTTCTGAAACTCACACTAGAAACTCACTCATAGTTTCCAGCTTCAGCCACTACATATATTCAACTTGTTTACTCCTCTAATGATATCTTGCTTCATCCCCATTACCTATACAGACCAATGGACACAAGATAAGACATAATCTTTGTCCTCCACGTTCTTTCTTTAGTCACCACTTAGACTAAATGTCAGATCAAGTAGGTAAATAATATCCCACTCAGCCACCTCCCACTTACACTAGAAAATGGAGAGTGATCCCTTTGAAGCAAGTAACCAATTGGCAAATAGTGCTCTCCCAACTATCCAGCAGGTAGTCAACCCTCTTTTACCTCAGAAATGACCCATTAAGCCTCTGAAATCTTGTGAAAAGCGATAGCCCTTGAAAACATAGTTGAAAACACGTAGGAAAACGTCACAGCACGACTGGGACGACCGATCGCCAGAAGTTTTCCCTCCAGACTTTGAATTTGCTCCAGGACGACCGGTCGCAAATGTCATGCGACCGATCGCTTGTGCTTCCTACGACCGGTCGCAAAGAGCTGGCGACCGGTCGCTCGTCGACTTTGCTCCAGACTTCGAATCTGCTTCAAAACGACCGATCGCAAATGCCTAGCGACCGGTCGCTTTTAGACAGTTTCAAAATCTTCCTTTCAGCGCCAAAACCAACCTTGTATCCTTAGGTGAGCCATTTTTTCCAACAATGGTGCCATTTATTTCCCCAAAATCCTTCCGGACTAAAAAGTGACCAAATTACACCTACCCCCAAGGACAAAATTGTAATTTCATAATTAAATTAATTAAATAATTTAAGTGGATAAATAATTTAGGGTCGGGGTGTTACAAGTAGAATTGTATTTGCTCTGTGATATTTACACTGATAGAATTTCCTCTATGATAGAACTCGGATTTCTCACTTTCTTTTCTTCTCACAACTCAGTGTGTTTTTCACTTCTCACTTCGTCTCACTACCTCTCGACTTCTATTCTAAATAAGGAACTAGCCTTTCTTTTATAGTTGAGCAAGGAAGGCTTGAGATGCCTTTGTATTTTCTCCTATGTCATGCAGCATTATTTTCTCAACATCATCATTTGCCTTTTGAATTTTTTTTCTTATTTTCTTTATGTGGGATCCACCACTTTCTTTACAACACTTTCCCTTGGAGACCATATGTTCCTAGATTAGTTGCCTCATTAAAACCTTACTTGGAAAAATACAGTGGGGAAAAACCTAAGCAAAGGAAAAGAGTACAACTTCATTTGGGGCATAAAGGGTAATGTTAAATGCGCTCATGTTGCCTCGTTAAAACCTTGCTAGTAAAAATCCAAAGGGAAAAACCCTAGTTGAAGGAAAAAAAGTACAATGCACATATGTCCTTTGTTATAGGGAAAAACCCTAGTTGTGGGCTCTCCATAATTTTCATTTCAATTCAATAAAAGTGGCAGTGTTTTTCATATGCTGATACAGGGTACCTCTCTGATCCACATCAAGGACGCTCACAAACTGGGAACATGTTTACATGAGGAGGAATTGCAATCTCATGGTGCTCAACGAAACAACCATTGGTAGCCACATCTTCCAATCACTTGGAAATACTTGCCCTTCATGAAGCCAGTCGTGGATGCGTTTGGTTAAGGTCGGTGATCCATCACATCTGAAGCACATGTGCCCTACCCTTCGCAACGGACACTCCAACCATCCTAAATGAGGACAATGCAGCTTGTATTGCTCAGATCATGGAGGATACTCAAGGGTGACCTAACTAAGCACATATTACCAAAGTTTTTACACACACATGAGCTTCAGAAAAATCAAGAAATTAAAGTCAAACAAATTCGCTCAAGCGATAACTTGGCATATTTCTTTACCAAGTCTTTGCCAAAATATACATTCCAAAAGCTAATACATGACATCAGTTTACGTCAACTCTGCAAGCAATGAAATTGGAGTGTGCAAAATCAAGGGGAGCATTCAAGAGTCCTTTAACACATGACATATGCACGTTGTACTCTTTTTCCTTCGATTAGGGTTTTCTTCACTGGGTTTTTCCTAGCAAGGTTTTAACGAGGCAATATGAGCGCATTTAACATTACCTTTACGTCCCAAATGAAGTTGTACTATTTTTCCTTCGCTTAAGTTTTTCCCATTGGGTTTTTCCAAGCAAGGTTTTAATGATGCAACCAATCTAGGGACATGTGGTCTCTAAGGAGGAGTGTTGTAAAGAAAGTGGTGGAGCCCACATAAAGAAAAGAATAAAATATATTCAAAAGGCAAATGATGATGTTGGGCAAATAATGTTGCCAGACATAAGAGGAAATACAAAGGCTTCTCAAGCCTTTCTTGCTCAATTATAAAAGGTAGGCTAGTTCCTTATTTTGAACACAAGCCGAGAGGTATTGAGACGAAGTGAGAAGTGAAAAACACACTGAATTGTGAGAAGAAAAGAGAGTGAGAAATCTAAGAGTTAGTGAGTTCTATCTGAGAGGAAGTTTTTCCAGTGTAAACATCACATAGCAAATACAATTCTACTCCCAATATTCAGTAGTACTTTTCATACTCTAATTATTTTTGGATTGAATATGTGCGGGAATATTGAGTTGCACGTGAAGTAAATGAGCCACAATATTTAACAAGGTTCAGCCATGCCTATGTCCTTGAAGAGCATGAGCAGTAACTTTTTCACTATGTAAAATAATAGGTCTACAACTTTAGTTTTTATAATATATGTGGCTCACTGATTTTTCTTACTTGGAGAATTTCTCTCTGCTCTTTTTTTCCTCTCCTCTCACTCTCCCTTTCTTTCTTTCCTCTCTGTCTGACTCTCTTTCTTCTCCCAATTGGGTCTGTATGCAAAGGCAGAATAATTCCTTATTTATAGGCTAAGGAAATGATGCCCGTGAGTGTGCAAGTGATAAGCCTCCAAGATGTGGCTGACAAGGAATCCAACATGTGGGCTCCACTCACTATCTTTACAACACTCCCCCTTGGAGACCACAAGTAACTAATAGGTCATTTCATTAAAGCGAATACGTGGAGGTCGATGACCCATTGGTTTTGTGGAAAGCCTTATATGAAAGATACAATGACCAGAAGACGGTGATCCACCCAAGAGTCAAATATGAGTGGACACACTTGAGATTCCAAGATTTCAAGTAAGTGTCTGAGTACAACTTAGCAATGCACAGAATCACATCTCTGATGAAATTGTGCGGTGAAAATATATTTGAGAAGGATATGCTCGAGAAAACCCTCAGTACATTTCATGCCTCAAATGTGCTCCTTCAACAATAATATAGGCATAGCGGTTTTACGAAGTACTCTGAACTGGTATCTTACCTTTTATTGGCTGAGCAGAACAATGAGCTTCTATTGAAAAATCACTTATCTCGCCCAACAAGCTCATCACCATTTCCTGAAGTAAATGTTGCATCTCATGAAGCGAATACCACCTCATCTGGTGGCAGTACCCACAGACGTGGGCAAGGAGGCGAGCGTGGCCGTTGGCAATGGAATAAAAAAGATCATGGTGCCCATTCATATGGATTGGGTCAAGGGAGCAATCCATCCACGAGTGGCAAAAATACATCTCGGAATAAGGGGAAAGCGTAGACAAGCCTTGTGCCTAGAAATGTTGAAGGCGCTTGTCACAGATGTGGTGCAAATGGACATTGGGCGCGTACATGCCGTACAACGAAGCATTTGGCGGATCTTTATCAATCTTCATTTAAGAATAGGAAAGTGGAGACAAATTATATTGATCATGCTATACCATATCTATCAGCCACATATGGCCCATTGGAAATATTGCGTCAGTTAGACATGACGCATCTAGATGTTTTCGATTTTGTTATTGAAAGAGGGAATGAAGTTTATGGGTCCGAATTAGACTAAATCCCTTTATGTACCATTTGTATTATCTGAAGTACTATTTTTAATTTTCATTTCTATTCAATAAAAGTGGCATTTTTTTTTTTTTACATTGAATAATTGTTTATTGATTCAACTTATTTTATTTATTTGAAGGCATAGATATAAATTATATATGCTTGCAAAACAAGAACTATAACAAAGATATTTGTCTCGTAGACAGTTCGACTACTCATACGATCCTTTGAGAAGTATTTCTCAAACTTGATGCTTACAAAAGCAAAGGTAACAACCATATCAGGATTGGCCTGCAAGGATTGTAAATCAGATGCCAAATGACGAAATCACATATCTCAGCTGCAAATGCACCTACAAGGATTGATGTCCATAATGAACAAGTGTCCCTTAAGTGGCATCGGTACCTGAAAGTTAAGAAATCTCCATAAATTATACATCCACCAATGAATTTTGGAATAGTAATGAGATGATCATCGATGATATATTTGCATTCTCAGTGGCTACTGAGATCATAAAAGGTGATGATATTCAACCATGCTCCATTGATGAATGCACACAGAGACAGGATTGGCCTAAGTGGAAAGATGCAATCCAGGCATAATTAAATTCTTTGGGAAAAATGAGTGTTTTTGGACCTATTGTTCCAACTCCACCCAATGTGAACACTGTGGCCCTGAATCAATGTACATTTCAACATCATGTGGGCAAGCTAAATTCACCACATCATCTTGCTATGCAAAAGTGGATTAGCTTAAAAAACCTATCTCTTCATATTGAAAAAGTGGTAGATAAGCAATCAAAGCAACAAGTGATGGACAATCGGTCACGACTTATGACCACAATTGAAAGCATTAGGTATCTAGCAAATCAAGTATTGCATCTTTTCGAGGCCACGGTGTATCTTTTTATGTTTATTAATGAAATTCACTCGTACCGTCAAGTTTAGTATGTAAGTTTTGCCTAACCGGCTCTTTGATCCTGGAACCGCCACTGGTTGAGGTTTCATGAGTTGAGAGAGAAAAGGAGTTTCGAAGATTTCTCCTTTTCCCATGCTTTTAGCTTGTTTATATTAGTCATATTGATCATCAAATTAACCTAATTCTTTGTAGCAAGCAAAGTACTTAAAAGAATATTTGATATCTTTTTATATATCTTCCTTGTAGATGAGTCACAAGCCAAAGTAACTTGGAATGAAACAAGTATCCCTCATAGAATTGTTTTCAGGGCTTTCCATGAATGAGATTATAGAGTTGATGGTTGGATCTGTAGTGGCATTAAGAGAGAGTGAAAAGGAGGGAAGGAAGAATAAAAGATAAAGGAGAGAATAGGAAGAAGGAAACAAAGAAAAACAGAAACGGCTGGGAATGGAAAGAAGAAGAAAGGAGGAAGGAAGAAAAAAAAGGGAAACGGGCCAGGGAAGAAAAGGAAGAGGAAAAGACAAAGGAGAGAAGAGGAAGGAAGAAAGGCAAAAAGAAAAGGGAACGGCCAGAGAAGAAAAGAAAGAAGAAAAGACAAGGGAGAGAAGAGTAAGGAAAAATAAAAATAAAAAGAAATGAGATAGTTTTAGTCTTTCAAAAATATTAGAATTTTATTTATTTTTAGGCTAAAATCCTTAATTAAAATTAAATATTAAAAAAAGAATTAGTCCGACACAACACCAAACATAAGTCTTCACTATTTTTACAATCCAGTTTCTTAGTCCGACGCAACACCAAACGTAGGTTAGTACTTAATCCAGCTTAGTCCAATCCGAGCTAATTCAAGACAGTCCTAGGATTTAATCCGGTCCATAACAGTCCGCCATACCAAACGACCCCTGTAGGTTATAAGTGCTTATTTATGAACAAACATACTCTCCAGTAATGGACGCAATCACGTTCCGTTACTTAATAAGTTTGGTAGTTGTTGCGTAGATTTCAGCTGCACCAAAATGGATTAAGCTGCATCCTCAACTTGTGATACTCGCAAGTGCACGAGCCGTTCGGTAGTATAGCGTATGTAAGTGCAAGGTCGATTCCACAGGGATTGGTGATTGAATGATCCAATTTAGTTTCCCTACACAAAATAGAAACAAAAACAAAGAACATAAAACAAGGAAGAAAGAAATAAGTAACTCAAGCAAATAAGTTCCCAAGTTCAATTTAGATTAATGGATTGATTCTAGCTAAAGTATGATTAAGCCATGGTGTGTGGTCATAACCTTGTGTTCCTAATTCCCTAATTTGATCATTTGTTGTCTAACCTAAAATTAAGCATTAGGAACCCATTAAGCATAGAAGAACA